CCGTGGGGGCCGCACGGGGTAGAGGACAGAGACCCGAATCCCGCGCCTGGCGGAGCGAAGTGGGAGCCAGGGGAGCGACTTTCGGTACAAATCCGAGTGGGTACGGAGGCGGATCGTCGAGGGCCGCGAGAGGAGGGCGCTCCTGGCTGGCCAGAGTCGGAATGCGGAGACAGAACAATGCTGCTCGTTCATTCATTCATGCATTCATTCACTCCTTCCTTCGACGGGGCCATGACAAGCTTCAGAGTGTTCCTGGAAGTGCCTTTTTCAGCGAGGCTGCAACGAACTGTCTGCTTCCCGAGGGAGGTCGGACTCGCTGAGATTGTCCGCCCAAGAGATAGTTGCAAAGTACCGAGCACAAGGCTCTGTTACGTGTTCTGGAAAGATGCCAGCAGGGCTTCTTACCCGCAGTCTAGTGGTGATATGGAAAGGTCACCTAGCCCAGATGGCGGGTACAAGGCCTGCGGCGGGCAGATGAGAGAATGCCCTTGGGAATGGGGCGGGGGAGGGGCTGCCCACTTTGTTTTTTATGGGAAGGGGGGTTTGGAGACTGAGGGTAGTGGCAGGAAAGGGGGTCTGCATTCCCTTCTCCCACGTCCCATTTCCTGTGCTTTTCACTGGGATTAGGACAGGGTGTCTGTCTTTTAAGAAAAAAGCAGTAAAGCTTCCTGCCCACGGACCTCAGTGTGGGTCTAGACATCTCAATTATTTCATGGAAATGAAGACACCGGGGGTGTTCTTTAAAACGAATAAACATCCAGAATGTAATAATAACATGCATTGCACTATGGGGTAGATTGCACCCTATATTGGTTACTGGTATAAAGCTTATATGGCACCATTACAGGTGCCATAACTGATTCCCACTAAGCTGTTCAACTATTCTTTTAAGCAAGATGTTTCTGGGTAACGGGGCATGTATCAGTCTACTAGTGCCACAAGAAAGGTGTGTAGCAAAATGTCCCAAAACAAGGATACCTGCATGATGTACATTTTTTTTTTTTTTG